CAACCTCAGGTCCGCTATGGCGGACTATGCCCCTCGGCGGCCACCTCTGCTATGGCGCTTCAGGCCCTGCACACGACGGCGCGCATGGAATAGCGGGTACCAGCTCCGATACCAATGCAATCAGACTCGTTCTCATTCACACTTTTCATGCATGTAAACAGCAGCGCAGCAAACTGGCGACATGCGCCCACTCAAACTCCGAGATATGGCATCCAGATAAGAGTTCACTTTCAACTGGCTATGGCGACTCAGCGCCCAAACAACTCACTGTTCACACACACCGGATCACCCTGGATATCCCACACGCGTAACTCTGAACACTCGCTCATACACATACACACTTCACACTAACTACAGCTATGGCAGCTATGGCTGCCTCTACCCTATCGCTATACTAAGCTCCTTCTCTCTCGCTCACTGCGTCCTCTGGGCTCACTGCAGACCTCCTTGCACAAGTCGCTGTGACAGCGCTTCCGCATGGCTCACGCAGGAATGAATGAAAGGCTGGGCGCTGCCTCTTGATTTATACTTCGGAAACTCGTTGGTCTGCCCTTTGCCATCGGCCCATGGTGCTCACAGTCCCCCGTGCTACTTGCTGGACCGGACTGGGACTGACTGGACCTTACCGCTGACTGACTGTGGACTCACTGCTATCCTACCGAGGTCGTACTGTGATTGCACTGCATTTAGTCCACCACTTGCCTCGCCACTTGACCACTTGCCCACTTGCCGACCTTCTAGAAGGACTACAGCTAGACTTCTGGAACTTGCTAAGACTTCTACTCTATAGACCTACAGATCGAACCCCTAATGCCTATGGACCTACGACAGACCTACCAACTGTCTACGAATACACAGGTCACAGGTTCAATTCTCTGGGTCTACACTGATACTGTACATAGGTAGGGTGAGGTCTAGGGATCGAACCCTGGGTACTGCATCTGCTACTGCTAAAAGGTGAAAACCGTTTCAGGCCTATGGTCAAGGCATTATTTGGAAGTTGGAAATCTCTGTTTTTGCTGCTGACACATGTGGAAATCATTCACATCTGTCTGTGTCTGTCTGTCTGGCATGAGAAATCCCCTTTTTCTTTTTCTTTTTTCCACTACAATGGGTCCTAAATCCAGGCTGTTCTCCTGTTCCGCTCAGTCCTCAATTTCTGGCTCCTGCAGCCTGAGCTCCTCCCTTATCAGGCCTGTTGCTTGGGGCTTTTCCCCAGAGACAATTTTCGGCAAGATTCCCTCCAGGCTTTGGGCCGTCTCCAATTTTGGCATTGAAAAGTTCGAGGCTGTTGCCACCTGCAAATCCTTTGTGAGGGGTTCCAACCCGATGGGAATAATGGTTCTGGATGGTATCACTTTTTTTCCTGTCTGCAATACACTGTTCCACAATTTGTGGTGCGACCCACCACTTAGACGTCCCACCGTGACTGTTTTGACCCTCATTTCTTCATTGAGGCCGTCCAGTCTCTTGTCGGCCTGTACCAACAATCATTTTCCTTCTGTTCGGTCCGTTTCGGGGTGCAACTGTTCCTTGTTATGTTTTTCGTTCCTTTTCATCAGTGTGTGGCCCCTTCTGCCTTCTTGGGTTTTGAATTCTCGGTGGGTTTGTCTTTGTCTTCTTCCCTGCTGGTCCTTTTATGTCTTGTTGGTTCCTTCTTTAGCTGTATCTTTCGGGAACTGTTGGCATTTTGAATCTGTCCTTCTGCCAGCCTCCTTCTTCTCCTCCCTTCTGGCCATCCTGTGCTTCTGTTCCCCCTCTTGCCTTGTTCTTTTTTATTCTGCGTATTGATCAGCATAATATTCTGCCAGTTCTTCTTCCCTGTTCAGAGCAGGGTTGGCCAAGGCAGTTGGGACTTTTTGTTCCAGAAATTACTGAATTGTTTCAGAAGATGAGAATTCAAGTCCCCAAAGGGAGCTGCGTCTGAAAGGGTTCCCTCGCGGCTGCTTCTCTAGGTATTTGGACACTTTGTCTCCCAATAGGGGTGGTGTCTGGGGACATTGGGTTTCTGTTATGTCTCTTCTAGACGAATGATAAAGTTCTTGGCTACTCTGGAAATTTCCCCAGGACTTAATGGGGTCCCCTACGTCCACTAGATCATTTGGGATTGGTTTCAAATCGGTGTCCGCAGGCCTCTGTTCTGTCCTGTCCGCCTGACTAAGGGTAACAAGTAGCTGGCCCTAAGTTCCTGTTTGCTAATAATTTCAAGTGTCTGAATTTGGATGCCAATTGCACTTAATTTTGGCCGGATTGTACGAACACGGTCCAGAGGGGACCCACATCTGTCACACGACATGATGAACTTTCTACTTAACTACCCGCTCCACTGCCATCCTCCTCTTCCGTAATGAACTGACGGGCTATTCTGCGTGCCGCAGCACGTTCTCTCATTCTGTGACGACGCCTTGTAGTAGCAGTGGTCCTGCCTCTTTTAGTACGAGGCGGCTTCGGTGCTTTGCGCCTTCTCACCATCTCGATGCTGATCTTTCCAATTTGCAACATGGTACTGGACATCTGCATGAAGGTCATGCTCCGGCACTTCACGGAGGCTGCGAAGGGTTATCAAGGCGCATACTATGATCGCACGGCAGTCATGGGATTATCCTGGTCATAGACTTGATCACCTCTGGGCAGTACTTGGTCCTGGCAGTGTCCTTCAATCATCCCGTTTTCTTTTCTCTCCGTACCTTCTTTTGAATCTGAATAGGCTCAGTTTCCTGCCATTCCCTTGTCTCTGCCATCTGTCTCGATCCTCAACCGTTTTCGTTTTCCATTTCTATTTCTTTCGGTCAATGACGAAAGCGCTGTCGAGGCAACAAAAAGAAAACCTGGACGCCCCACTTACCAAGGATGAAATATGGATGGCGCTGCTTCAGATGGAGGAAGGAAGGACCCCCGACATTGATGGCTTCCTCAGCACGGACTTGTGGAGCTACTATCAGAAGGTATGGCAGGAAGGGGACATGGGGGGGGGGGGGGGGGGGKCAGGGGATTTTGACACTCCTATATAAAAAGGGAGACAATATGAACATCAGGAACTATAGGCCCATCACCCTCCTGACAGTAGTCTACAAGATGCTCGCCAAAGCCTTGGCGAACCGAATGGCTAAGGTATTAGAAGACATCATACACCCAGCCCCTACTGGTTTTCTGCGCAATAGAAATATCCAGGAAAACATTATGCTGGTAAATGAGATGGTCAGCCTGACTAAGCGACAAAAGCGGAATGCAGCTATCATCTTTATCGATTTTGAAAAAGCCTATGACCATCTCAACCGGCAGTTCTTGGACAAAAGCATGGAAGAAACAAAATTTGGACCTGGCTTTCACAGATGGATAAACA